TATTGGTCAATTGCTTGTAATGCATGGGGCTGAATAACTGGCTATGTCTCACCTTGAAACGTTCTAAACAACAAACAGAAAGGTATATCAACCTGCCGTAAAACCGGTACCAGGCATGCCAGAGGGTTCTATAAAGAGCAAAATGATAACAACAGGAAGGCTTTTGCTGAATTTTATTAAGGGTAGAACAAGGACAATAGGAATGAAGATATTTTCCCTAATATTGCAGATTTCAAAGCAGACTAATTAGTATGCAGAGGAGATGAGGCAGGACATCATCTGCTTTACTGTAGCAGATGTAAAAGAAGCAGTAAGAAGTGACCTGAACTCAAAGCAAATGCATTGGAAGTCACAGTGTCATAAAAATCATGGCGAGGAATCTTCAGATTGCAACAGGTGACTAAACCGAGGGATTACTGACCCTGTCACTCTCTTCTCTGTCATGACAACCTTCTTTCTTGTTCACATTGTGACAGCAGTGTTTGCTGCCCTGTTAACAAGGCTTTCTTACATATAAAATCCTTAACTGTGTAAGTCATAAATTCCCAAGATATCAGCTATCTTCTAGAATGTTGTTATTTGTTGGAAAAACAGTAGATACCATCTAGGTTTAGAAGTTCATTGGTATGTTTTCTTATATCCTTTATCTTGTGATAATCAACTCACAGGATTTTGAAATTTACTGCTTTCAGAGATATAGTTGCAGTGCATATTTCTGCAAACCAATGATTAGAGAGGTTTCAATTAAAGAAGAATTAATACTATTTAAAAAAAACAACTGAAGGTGATTTGTGTTTGGAGAAAGCAAACATAGATACAAATTTTAACTGAAATGTCCATTCATCTTTAAAATAGGTAGGATCAATAAACTTATAATTTGGTTAGCACATATCATAGATAAATTGTTTTAGATATGCTGACTTAGAATTATATCGTTCTATTGTTTTAAAATGTGTTTTTAGTATTTTAATTACAATCTATTTCTTTGAATTGTAAACTGAATTGTAAATCAGTCACTGACTGATAAAGGAGGCTATAGAAATGAATGAATGAATGAATGAATGATGAATGAATGAATGAATGAATGAATGAATGAATGAATACCATCACAGAGCTACTTCCTAAATCTTTGGTATATTTTTTTTCAGTAAGCACCAATAACATATTGGTTTTTAAATAAGTTATCAGACAAATGTCCCATTTGCTAAACTTTAAAATTTCTTAAAAGAAATCTGAATCATGGTCAAAAGAATATCATCACTGAAGCAAACATACATATCAGTTGAAGAACCAAGGCCTTGAGTAGAATAAAATTAGGTTCAACCAACAGCAGAATTCATACCGTGTTTTCCCCAAAATAAGACAGGGTCTTATTTTCTTTTGACCCCTGAAATAAGCACTTAGCCTTATTTTCAGTGAGGTCTTATAATTTTGGAAGTGCAGGAGGCGGCAAGCGTGGTCACCTCATGGCTGCTGCTGTGTTGGAAATATTTTTGGGGAGAGCTTATTTTCAGGGGAGGGCTTATTTTAGCACATGCACTCAAAAGCCCGATTGGGCTTATTATCTGGGGAGGTCTTATTTTCGGGGAAACAGGGTATATACACAAAACAATATTATCATTAAAAAATAACCTCTTTCTTAATGACCCTGTAATCCCTTAATCTGGGATAGAGTCAAAGTGACTAGAGGGAGCTGAGCATTTACTGGCCAGATGCCCTTCTAACACCAGAACAGTCACTCACGCCCTTGTGACCTCAAGACTGGACTACTGCAATGCGCTCTACATGGGCAGCCCTTGAAGAGCATTTGGAGACTTCAGCTTGTCCAGAATGCGGCCGCGCGAACGAATGTGGGTGCACCTCAGTACACCAACGTTACACCTATCCTCTGCGAGCTGCACTGGCTGCCTATTAGACTCCGGATACTTTTCAAGGTGTTAGTTGTTACTTTTAAAGCCCTACATGGTAGCGGACCTGGGTACTTGAGAGACCACCTCCTGCCAATTACCTCCCTGCAACCAATTAGATCCCACAGATTAGGCCTCCTCCGGATTCCATCAGCTACCCAGTGTCGACTGTCGACCCCCCGGGGGAGGACCTTCTCTGTGGCTGCTCCAGCCCTCTGGAATGATCTCCCCGTGGAGATTCGGACCCTTACCAGCCTTCAGGCTTTCTGCAAAGCAGTTAAGACCTGGCTGTTCCGGCAGGCCTGGGGCGGGTGAGGTCCCAGCCCCACTCGAATTGTTGTGGCTGTTGAGGAGTTTTAATCTGTTTTTCTGTAATTGTTTTGTCTTGTTTGTTTTTTGTATTACCCCCTCCCCTATGAGTTTGTTAGCCGCCCTGAGTCCCCCCGGGGAATAGGGCAGCATACAAGTTTAATAAACCATAAACCATAAACCAACCTACAAGGAGCTCACAGCACTTTTTTCTCTCTCTGAGCCCTAGGAAAGAAACATCTATCACTATCCAGGATTGAACTCTCAATCTTCTGAGTTGGAAGTGAACATCTTCACCACTTGGCAACCATGCTGCTCACACACATTTTTTTAAAAAAATATTATCATTGACTCCATTTATTGATATACTGAAACATCATGAAAGACAGTCTCCTTCAACCTGATGTCTTACAGATATGCTGTAATCCAATTAATTTAGAGGAGAGCAGGTCGAAAAAGACTGCTGAAAAAGGGAACATCCCAGGAGATGTTTTTGATGGGGCTGGAATAGTATTAATATGTGCAAAATTATCCTATTCAACCTTTCCTAACTTGCTGCCTTCCAAATATATTAGATTCTAACCTCTGCAATCCCTAGGTAAATATGTTGCATAGGGTCAGAATCCATAATTTGTTTTAAAAGTAGTCAGAAAATAAGCTTTCCACAGACCACCTACAGTATACTAGGATGCAATGACTGGAAATATATTATATAGAGGAACAGAACTAACTTGCAAGAATTAACTGCTGATAATTGACATTTAACACTGAAATGTGCCCATCAATTTACATGAGGCCAAACTAAGGCTGTTCATGTATGGTATGAAAAAAAAAATCAAAACAACTCTTGGGGGGGGAATTAAAGTAAAAACCCTTTAAAAATTGGATTAGTCAATTTTCTCAGAACTGCCTCTATTTAGATTCCAAGCCTGCAGGCGGTGTTTACTTGCTTGTTTGTTTTAATGAAGTTATTGTATGGCATCCAGCGCTGAACCATTTACAGATAATAAGTACAGTCATCATTTGTGCATTTACAATCTCTTAGTGCATTGTTCCCACTTTTAAAATAACCTTTGCAAGAACAAGGGCTGTCAAGCTCCTTTTTCTGGCTAGAATTATAAAGATTCTAATGCAGATTTTTTTGAGCCTCATAGATTTGCCTTCAAAATAGCTTGCTCCCCTGCCCCCACTGCAGTCAGCTACGCCCACTGAGCTTTAGACTGTCAGTACAAACATTTGAGGCTTGGCATAGATGACTTACAGCCCACTCAAGTGACAGTGAATTAGTACCAATCATTAAATGCTAGGGCGTGGACCAGGGAGAGAGCCACATTTATGGATGGCAGAATACAACCACTTCTTTCTGACATTAATCCATTCTTCATCAGATAGAAACACCCAGGAATGGTGGTTCTTGACCACTCTGTGACTTGGAGAGGCAAAAAGCTTTCTGGAGCTTAGTTCACCTGATTCTTTCCTACCCTGTTCAGACAGGCTGCACTTCTCTGTCTCTTAATTAAGCTGGAAATAGTGGCAAGCTGATGGATTTGCTTTGAGCAGAGGGCGAAGTGCCTGTGCTATCCCCAGAGAGCATATTAGAGTAAGCCAAATAGACTAAGGATTTCAGTTAGCTAATGAAGGAAAATTAACACAGAAAGAGAGAGAGAGAGAGAGGTGGGAGGAGGAGGTGGCAAAGACAAGAATAGGCAGAGAAGGGATGGGCAGTTGTGAGGGACAAAAAGAAGATATATGTTTGATGTGAGGGCCAAATACAGATGGACAAAGAATAAAGAAAACCAAAAGAAAATCACAGAACATGAATAACTATTAGTTAGAACTAGAGAAGAGTAAGTTCAATTCAGGACATTCTCTTATTCTTTTTTTTTTTTTTAACGAAGCTACATTTGCTTAGAAGTGAACACATTCGTTTAACTAAGTCCTGATAATCTTAAAAAACAATGTTCAGCTTTTATCTGAAAACTATAATATGTAGTTCAATTAGCAACTACAATATGTAGTTCAATTAGCATGTAAGCAAAAGTCAGTAAATATTTTCCTAATGGGTACATTTGCAGAACAAATAGATTTTAATTTTTGTTAAATGAAATGACAGCTACTACTCTTATTTGGATCCACCAGTCTTTGGTGCCATTGAATTTAGCAGAGATTGCTCTAATTTAATTTGTACAACTCTTCCTGCTTCTCTTTCTCAAAATGTTTACAAAGTACAAACTTTTAATACCTATATTTTTATTTTTCATATTCTATCAATTATACTTAACATTCAGATTAAAGATTTAAAAATGAAATCTGGATGCTTAAAAGTTTGATAGTAATTTTGATTGATCCTAATATATGTGGTTTTTGGATCTATTAACCAACAGACTAATGCCTGTCTAATTCATTTGTCCCGTTTTCAAGTCAAATACCAATAGAATCTTAGTTCTAAGATTCTGGCTTCAGTCTACCAACTATCCAGTAAGATTTATATACCACAAAGTCTTCATTCAGTGATTGTACTTGTGATGGTGATATGGTAGAGTCTCGTTTCAACTCAGCATTAAATTGCTGCTACTTGATTGCATTGGTCCTATAACTCACAAGTCCCATAGGTTGCCAAATTTCCTAGATAAGTAAACAAATATGGGTAATGTCATGTTGCTGTCCACAATACATATCCTAGGGGTTGCAACATGCTAATTATCCATCCTTTCAAAACTTTACAATTTTCTCCCAGGATACTGAATTAATTTTTTTGGTTTCAGGTGCCTATCAGTCCCTTACCTGTTCATGATGCTCAATGCCCATGCTGATGGTATTTACGAGGATTGCAATCATTATTCCACGGTTGAAGTATTTGCTATCCACAATTCCCCTCAATTTGACTCTTACTTCTTGCCACATATCATTGCAAAGCATGAGCTGTCCTCTCTCTTCTCCATCATCCTCTTCTTTTTCCAAATCCGTGTTAGACTCCATGACTCCTTTCCCGCCATCTCCCTCTTGGTCACAGACTTTTTCTCCATCTTCCGGATCTGAATTGACACTATCAAGCACAGAAAGTCTTTGGGTTGCTTCCTGCTGGGTCTTGTAACATTTGGGGCAGTTGCTGGCTTCCGAGACCAGTGTCTTGGTAGTAGGCTGACCAAGTCCTTGAGGCATGTAATCAATAGAAGAATGTTTCCGGCAACGTGCTGGTTAATAATACACAAAAAGATTAAATGTAAGGCTTAAAAATGCCCTATTTGTAATACAGTTCTGCATCTCAATATTTAATTACGCAAAGCAAATGGGTTGTTGGCCATTTTAATGGAGAAGAAAATGAAGCACTGGAACTGCTAGAGTTAAACATCTCATCAGAGACTTTAAATGGAGATTGCTTGTCCCTAAGAGATACGCTCTACTTCAGCCACAATAGATTGCACTCAATTGTGTTCAGCCACATAGCATGGATGGAATAATTCTCTAGACTGCAAGAATCATTAAATAAGGGCCATGACCTATATGTAACATATTGGAGGTTAAAAAAAATATTGAAAGCTTGTTTCTTTAAAAACTAGGGAGCCTTATTGATCTCATAACAAAAATATTTCAAATATTATATGTTGTGCATATAAAATATGGTAAGTCTGACTTTGCTACTACATAATATGTCAAATCATCCAAAAAAGCTTATCTTGGCAAATGGAGCAGAACTGGAAAGGCATATTTGACTTGACAAGCATATGATTTTTTTTTTTAAAAAGTAGCATTGACAAAGTCACATTTTGCTGATTTTCTACAGCTAAAATAGTTTTGTAGGATCTGAAAAAAAGGCCATAGCTCAATGATAACCATATGCATTGCAGGAAAAAGGCCACTCGATCACATGAGATTTTAGTGGTTATGAAAGTAATCTTGTGAGAATTCAGAGGCAGCATATCAATCTCCTCACATAACGATTTGGAGATGAGTGGCTAGAACAAATAATAATAATTCATTGACGTCCCTTGCAAGCAGCATGTGAATGTGCAAAGCATTCATTTGCACATGGACAGGAGCTAGGTTGTGCATGCAAAACCATCCTCCCCCCCCCCACTGCTGCTACCACCATGGCTGCTACTGCTGGTCCAGGGAACCCGAAAGGTTGTGGATCACTGCTATATAGTACCTTCTGTTAACCTTGGTATAACAATTGTTTTAAATAGGGATGGAACATAATGATGTTCAGCCACCATTCTTAGTTAAGTAATCCTGTTTTAATTTTTTTTTCTTTTTTTGCTATCATACAAATCAGGATTCAGCTATCCTTTGAATTTTGGGATGCAATTTCATTCTAAAAATGCTCACATTTTCCATATGTTTCCAGTTAATAGAAACTTGATATACAAATGCATTTTTATAAAGACGTTTGTACAATTTAAACCAGAACATTTATAATATTTTTTAAAAAAATCTGGAAAAGAACTGTCTAATGGCTGATACCTTGTAAAGATAGTCTTTGACTTGTGACCTTAATTGACTCAGGAATTGCAGTCCTGCCAGTCGTTAAATGACTGATTTAATTTTATGACTTTTTTTTTGCAGTAGTTGTTAGGCAAATCACCCATTTTCTATAATGGGTGGTTTTTTATTCTGGAATCTGGAAATAAATGCTGGTTTCAGCAAAAAAAAAAAAAAAAGAAGAAGTCATATTATGGTCATATGATCATGAAATGCTGAAAATGGCTGTAAATATGGCCTGGTTGCCAGGTGCCCAAGGCGCATCACGTGACTGTGGGACGAGCAACCACCAGAACTTCAAATTGGGGTCATAAGTACTTTTTTTTTGGGGGGGGGGGAATGTTTCATCATAACTTTGCATAGTCCCTAAGTGATTGGTCATAAGTCAAGAACTATCTGTAGTCTGATTTACAGTGAGGGCCTCAATAGTCATTTATACTCCCCACCCCGCACCCCTTAATTTGGCAAGCTTAGTTTATAAACCTTACAGTATTGTTTCCGTTCTTTTCCATTCACTCTCTGTTTGGCAGTGCCTGGTTCGGTTGGACCGAGACGACGATCCTGCAGGCTGTTGTAGAAGCCAAGGGTGCGACGCTTAGCTTTACGAACAATGTGGCAGACATATTGGAAGATCTCTTCATAACAATCTCCTGGTTCCATATAGCTGGCCACAGTGCTGGAGGACAGGTACCGTGCTCGCTGCTCCTGCATCAGTTGGTGTTCTCGTTGCTTGGTCTCGGAAAATTGGGTGGCAATGACTACTAGGCACAGGTTAATCATAAAAAAGGACCCCACCTAAGAAATGGGAGAAAAGGCATGGATAAAGCATTAATGGCGGGTGTTTGTGTGTAAAGGGGGGGGTGTGATTAAAGGTAAAAATAACCCCAAGGCATAAAACACTGATGTGTGTGTTTGTGTGTGTGTGTGGGGGGTAGTCTAGAGTCCCAAGGATTGCAAAATCCTTTCCTCAGAACCTGCAATTCATTTTGCTTCCACTGTCAAATTTTAGCTGTAAGATTGCTGAACATCAGTGCCACATTTTCCTGACATTTTAGGATGAAAGTCTAAAAATGCAATAGAAATATTACAGCATAAGCCTCAAATGTGTTTAACGCTGCTAAAACAAAGTACTTTAAAATAGGGAAAACTCCATTCCTGCCTATGGGTGTGCATGACGACAGAGGCCATATTGATTTGCCCTTTCCATTCTATCAATTAAGATAAGGTAAGATAAACTTTATTGTCACTTTTTTTCTGTGAACACGTTAAAAATGAATTTCTGATGCCTGCTCTAGATAGATAGATAGATAGATAGATAGATAGATAGATAGATAGATAGATAGATAGATAGAT